ACTTCAGCATGTGAAAAAGCTGCTGCACAAGTGAAAATGTGATTTCAAATATTTAGTGGGCTTTATACTTTTGAAGTACATCTTACAAATGAAGTACATCTTACAAATGATCACACAGGTGCTTATTTCATTGTGTTTATAATTACACAATGTCTGACTAAATTGTATGATTTACTGTTTTTCTCAATTTTTTGGGATTTAACAATTAGAGCTTCTGAAAAAAGATGTCATGCTTAGCAACAGGGTCAATCACACCTTCTCAATAAGATAGACAGCACTATAAGAGTTGTAGTCCACGCCCACCCTGGAGGTGGGCCCCTCCCACAGTCTATCCTCAGGTATATAAATGGCTGAAAGCATGTGCTCTGTTCCCTCTTTTCTTCAGTGCTTGAGCAGGCTCTGTGGAGTGGCAGGGCATTCAGAAAAACATAATTGCTTATCTATATCTATGTTCTGTTCTTACTTTTTGATAAAACTTCAGTGAAACATGAAAAACCCATGCTCCCAACCTTGAGTCCCTTTTTAAAAATGGGCTGAATTTGCAGAACTGGGCTTACCAAGTTCTGCTAAGGGCTGATGTGAAGGGCAGTCAGGGCCAGAGTCTGAGAGAGCATCATTATACAGTCATGAAGTATGACAATATTTTCACATATCTTCTATCATAACATATGTAACATCATCAATATATGAACCTGATGTTTTGCTCCTGCTGATTTTCATTAAGTTTATATTCTCTCTGGCCTACCTTATTTGTTGACCAGCTGTCACTTTAATGTTGCCTGAGACAATAATGAACCAGAAAGCATTATTAAGTTACCTTCAGCTGGCATGCATTTTCAACAATTTTTACTATGGCTACCAAACAGTAAATATGATCAGATAAGATGTTTAACAGAAAGGCTGGCTTGCTAGCCAGACTTCAAATCTTCCCACAGTGTTTTCACTGAAAAATATGTGCTCAGCACAGGGAAGGCGCGAGCAGAAGCTGCACGTTGCCCGTAAAGTGAGAGCCAGGCTGGCGTGTTCTGGCCCGAGGCAGGACTCACAGAGGGTATGGTGGTCAGTGGGCATAATATACCCTGTGCGACAATCGGAGCAAACATGAATTGTCGACAACTTCCTCTTATGCTTGTGCAACTTTGTTAATTCCTAACTCACAACAGTGCCTGCTCGAGCGCTGAAGAAAAGAGGGAACAGAACACAAGGTCTCAGCCGGTTATATATCTAGGGTGGACCGTGGGTGGGTGTGGACTACAATTCTCTCAGTGCTGCGCAGGTGCGCAAGGGATAAACCCAATAGCGATAGCCTTAGAGGGCGAAGCCTATAGGAAATAGAACAGAAAGGGAGAAGGGACAAACAGTACAGGGAAACATGCAGCCGTAACACTATGTAGTGAGACCATCAGAAGTAACTTATCCCATTGATACGCATTCATACGCCATTGATGAAGCAGATGGAGCATATATACATATATATATATATATATATATATACACTCCGGTGAGTGTAATTTGAGGCTGATGTGAACATGGGTTATATTATTGTTCTCTCTGACATGCATCTTAACTTCCCGTTTGTTTGACATGCATTACGTTGTTCCTTGGCAGATAATAAAATGCTATAATTGCCCATACAATATGCATTACCAGTGATAGCTGTACTAAATGCATATACAGATAGTGGGTTGAGTGTGCTGTGTGTGAGTTTTTCTTGAAAGTGAAGCGTGAAGTGAAGGGTGGTGGGGGCAAAGGCAATTGATTAGTTCTCTGAATGGCCAGAGGATAAAACCTGTCCCTTAGAAGGTCCAGCATTTCACGCAAGAGCCTATTACATTATCAAAGACTCCCAACATCACCTTACAGTGGTTGTTCTCACTTGTGCCCTCAGCAGGAGGTACAGAAGTTTGAAAAACCTGTGTTGGGTGTAGTCATTGATCATGTTACAAGCTCCCCTGTTGACACTACCGGGATTTCCTGCAGAGATGACAGGGTCAACCTAAGGATCTTCTCAACTGTTTTTATCACTGTGCAGGCATTTGTGGTCAATCCAAACACCTCTCATCAAATGAAACCACTTCATCTAATGCAGAAAGAGTCAATTTTTGCATCCTTTATAGAATAATAAAATATATATTATTTCCTATAAACAGATGCCGACAACATTCTGTACTTTTGTGATTTTCACAGAGATGACTTCTCTGTTGCCGGAGTTAAGGAGTTAGACAGCAATGGTCCTGAAGAGACAGCTCTTCAGCAATTGGATGCAAGGTATGGTAATTGTAATTATATTTTTTTGCTATTTCTTAAAAAAAATTGGTCACTGCATTACTTGAGCAACATGTAATAATATTCCTTTAACACAGTAACCCCGGCCCTGCTACAGGACAAGCTCTCCCAGCTGAACGTGCCTGACTCCACCTGCAGGTGGATCACAGACTTCCTGTCTAACAGAAGACACCAGGTGAAACTGGGGAAGCATGTCTTGGACAGCAGGACCTTCAGGACTCACTCCCCTCAAGGCTGGCCACCACAGACTGGTAGAAGGTCTAGAGGAGTCTGTTGCAGACAGTGAACGATCTGAGTCTCCTCAAGAAGAACAGCGTGCTCTGTCCTTTCCTGAAGAGGGCGTCAGTCTTGTGAGACCAGTCCAGTTTATTGTTTATGTGGACCCCAAGGTACTTGTATGAGTCCACCCTCTCCACCTCCTCCCCCTGCATGATGACTGGGGCAGGGGGCCTCCTCTTCCTCCGATAGCCCACTAGCACCTCCTTGGTCTTGCTGATGTTGAGCTTCAGGTGGTTGTTGTTGCACCATGTGACGAAGCGCTCTATCAGTCCTCTGTACTCCTCGTCGTAGTCATCAGTGATGCACCCAACAATGGAGGAGTCGTCGGAAAACTTTTGGAGGTGGCAGGAACTAGAGTTCAACCTGAAGTCTGACGTGAAGAGAGTGAAGAGGAAATGCACCAGAACTGTTCCTTGAGGTACTCAATTCAATTCAATTCAATTTTATTTGTATAGCGTCAACTCATAACAAGTGTTATCTCAAGACACTTTACAAAAAGCAGGTAAAATACCTTACTCTTTGTCTGTTAACATTACAAAAGAGCAGGTAAAAAGACCTTATTCATTGTTATGTTACAAAAAGCAGGTAAAAGACCTTACTTATTGCTATATTATAAAGCCCCGGCCTATCCATCATGAGCACTTTAGCAAAGCAGCAAAAGTTACATTGGTAAGAAAAAACTGCCTTATTAAAAGGCAGAAATCTTTGGCTGGATCCCCGGCTCATGACGAAACAGCCTTCACAGGCCTAGACTGCGTCGGGCTTGGAAAGGGATGGGAGGAGAGATGGGATAAGATGCAGGAAGAGGGATAGGGAGCAAGGGGGTGGGGGGAGGCAAACCGTCCATCAACAATCCGGTGGGGAGAGTGGGGGGGGGGTTGTTCTGGCAGGCCGTCAACCAACAGTCGTACTCCAGTGTTACCCATCACCACCTCAGAGACACAGCTGTCCACTCTGACATACTGCGGTCGGCCCATGAGGTAGTTAAAAATCCAAGCTGTGGTGTCAGGGTGCTGCTGGTATGCAAAGATTATATATATTTTGTAACTACTTCTTATATTTCATTTAATTTAAGTTCTTACTATTTTATTTATTTCCTTTGTTAACTGTTTTTGCACCAATACACCAAGACAAATTCCTTGTATATCTAAATGTCCTTGTCAATAGAACAAGAAGTACAAGAAGTATTCTGATTCTAATTCTATGGTAAATCTGAATAGAATTGTTATTGATTATTTTGTTAACATGGACTTAAGACTTTTTTTTAGATGGCTATCTTTACAACCAGAAAGGAAACCAGAATTTAGAAAAGCATAAAAAAATGATAATAGTAGACACTGAAAGACTTTGACCTTGACTCGTCTTTTCAAAAATATCACTCACCTCAGATGCAAGTTTAAAGTTCAGGCATGAACTATGTAAATGTTCCAGTCTGAACATTAGGTGTATAAAAACACATACCGAGTTTAGATAAATATCAGTTATTAAATGACCATTGAAGCGATCCTTTTTTACTCTGTAACCATCATCCTTCAGAAAATATGTGGCAGCTACTTTTACAATGTCCCTCAGGTCACAGTCATATGAACCCAAATAAAGAGATGCCATATATTTTCATAAATAATAACTATGTTCAAGTATTTGTACTCTGGAAACATATCTTAAAGTTGTCACATATTATCTCATACAAATATATTCTCATTGTAACTTGTGATGATTTCAAGTTGATTGCATGAAAAAAGAGCAATTGAATCAATATGTCATACATATTTATTGTGTTGATTGTTATACTAATTATTATTAGTATTTTATTTTTAGATAATCTGCATAGATATAATACTTGCCATGAATGCACATTTTTGATCTTTTTATCAGTGTATACCTTACCCCTGCTCTCTGAGCATATTTATTGTTTGTAAAATTTGTGTTCATTTTGTGTCAAAAATAATATGTCTCTCCTTTTATTCATTTGTAAAAACACTTTTTTTCGTTATTTCAACATTCAAGTCGTCATTTTTTGAAAGGTGTGCTGTTAGAGCTTCCTGTCCTCCTCTCCTGGATGTTTTTGATGACCTTCGCTGTCCGAGGTGCTGAAATGATCTCTGCTGCAGCATGTTGTGTCGTTCATTTAAAAACAGAATAAAAACAATTATTATCTTCTTTCATCTCTGCGTGAATGATTTCACGCCAAGATGTTGAATGTGTTCTGGTCAATGTGGACCCCAGTCAGTCAGTCTAACAGGAGTCACGCTGTCCCTAATTCATGCTGCTGATCAGAGGGGGGCGCTAATGATTCATAGGATTTTTGTCTTTAAAAGACTTGATCGAAGAAGAAGAGAAAGCAGAGCAGACTTCTGACTTCTATAAGGTTCTCAGACAGGATTTAAATAATCGTGAATCCTGACGCATCAGTATTCAGCTCTCAACAACTGATCTGTTAACATGTCTGGAAGGGGAAAGGGAGGTAAAGGACTCGGTAAAGGAGGCGCTAAGCGTCACCGTAAAGTCCTCCGTGATAACATCCAGGGAATCACCAAGCCCGCTATCCGCCGTCTGGCTCGTCGTGGTGGAGTCAAACGTATCTCTGGTCTCATCTACGAGGAGACCCGTGGTGTGTTGAAGGTCTTCCTGGAGAACGTTATCCGTGATGCCGTCACCTACACCGAGCATGCCAAGAGGAAGACCGTCACCGCCATGGATGTGGTTTACGCTCTGAAAAGACAGGGACGCACTCTGTACGGCTTCGGAGGTTAATCCTGATCCTGACCCACTCACACTGAAACCCAAAGGCTCTTTTAAGAGCCACACACTTCATACGAAGAGTTGTTCCTCACTTATAAGACGCGATGGAAATCATGAGAGTTGCGAGTGATGCGACAGATTAAGTATTAACTGTCTTAAATAAACCTCCTCAAAGTAGAAAATATTTGAACCTGTCAAAGCAGGCAGGTTCACTTGTTATAAGCGGTTTGTTATTTTGTAAGTTCGCGGGTGTTACACTTACTGTATGAAAATAAAGAGTGGCAGAACGCGACTGTCTCCGACCTTCACACAATATGGTGCTGGCACTGAAACTTGTTAGACTTTATTGTATTTACTTGAGGAGCTAGCGCCTCTCGATCTGTGAAAGGTGTCTCAAATTTGAAATCTTACTAGATTTACTTAACGCGTTAACTGAGGATATGAAATAGGCGAAATATTCATGAAGTACGCATAAAACGGTTCAGGATGGAGCATTTAGAGTCACATTTTATTGCTTTAGATAGTCGATTAAAAGAGACGCAGTGTGTTCAGCTAGAACAGACCAGTTACCTCCATTAAGCAACGACCGCCACCTGTAACATTTTAATTCACATTTTAATAACATTTGCATTCACATGACAAACGAGATCTCATTTTGTTAAACGGAGAGTAACTCTTTAAATAACTTTTGGGTGGTCCTAAAAAGGACCGTTTTGTTGCTGGTTATCAGCGGGTTTACTTGGAGCTGGTGTACTTGGTCACAGCCTTGGTGCCCTCAGACACGGCGTGTTTAGCCAGCTCACCGGGCAGCAGCAGGCGGACAGCGGTCTGGATCTCCCTGGAGGTGATGGTGGAGCGCTTGTTGTATTGAGCCAGACGGGAGGACTCCCCGGCGATGCGCTCAAAGATGTCACTCACGAACGAGTTCATGATGCCCATAGCCTTGGAGGAGATACCGGTGTCGGGGTGGACCTGCTTCAGGACTTTGTAGACGTAGATGGCATAGCTCTCCTTCCTGGACTTTCTCCTCTTCTTACCGGTCTTCGTGGCCTTAGAGACGGCTTTCTTTGAGCCCTTCTTGGGCGCTTTCACAACATCCGGCATGTTTACTGTGGGATAATTTCACTAACACGTACTCGGTATCAGTCGGGCCGCGCTCTATATTTGGCCTTGATGTAAATAAAGATGTGCTGTTGCCTCACATAAGATTGGCTGAAATCTGTGCTCTCCAGACTAAGCGCCACATGGCGGGAGCAGGCATTGTCCGAAACGGCTACATGGTACAATATATTTTAGAAATCGTTCACCATCGCCGTATTCTTTCTTACGCTCAAATTAATGAAGTCAAGTTTCTGTGATATGTACTTCATATGCTTTTGGAAATAGTTCAATGAAGTTGTCCCACAGAACTGCTCAAAGGTTTAGAATTGAAAGGGAGATCCTTCAGAGTTGCCCTAGCTCTCCATACTTATTTTAACTTCCCACCCAAATTTTGGTTTGAAAGGTATCTCGACAGCAGAAAGGATTATCTCAGAGTCAGCTCGCAGATGATACGACTTTCATTACATGACAGATCACAAATTGATACTGCAGGTACACTTTTAGAGCAGCCTCAGGTTTTAATCCTAACCTTTCCAAATTTTAGATAAAGTCCAGAAATTCCTGTGAAATATCAGAACAAATACCTTGGTGTTCATATTGTTGAAAAGACCAAACCTCAAGAATGACTGAAAACCTTTTTTTTGTTTTGCCATTTCATCCCTGTAGATTCATCTAAAGATATATCTACAAGAATTTATAATGTTTCTGATTTAATCTGGAAAAATACATCTCAACTCATTAGAATGAATGTAATGATAACTAAGTGCTGGTGGGTTCAATGTTTGAGATTTTCATACACTGCAGCTCACATTTCAGAATCAGAGTAGGTTTTTATTGCCAAGAACATTTACACATGCCAGGAATGTGTATTGGTGCAAAAAACAGTTAACAAAGGAAATAAAGCAAAAATAGCAATAACTTAAATAAAATAAAATATGGAAGCAATTACAATATATAATATACAATTTAAAAAAATATAAGAAACACAAAATGTGCTTGATTTAAAATCAAAATGGATAAAAAAAGACACTTGACTAATACTTTAATTAATTTAATTTCAACACACGTATTTAAAGCAATTGGAGGATTAGATTTCTTCTTGAACATTCTTGAACATTTTCCTGTAAAACTCTCCAGTTTTCCTAAACAGCTTCTTTAGTGCTGTTCTGTAGTATAAAAACATATTTACCCTCAGGTGCTTCCTGAGGAACACGCAATTGAATTTTACACTATTCCTTCTAGACTAAAAATCATATAATCAACTTAATCAAAATCTTTTGAAGTTTTGCACTGATAACTGATTGGATTGGGTGCCTAAAACAATGAACATCCAGAATGTATGTCAAGAAAATGTAATGTTTAAGAACCCTTTTAAATAAACTGACTCCATATATTTCAATATGCTTTGTTTTAATGAGGTAGCCACAATACACGCTACAAAGGCATTTTAAGATCAATACATAAATAACACTGAAACAATTCCAAGTTTTAATTTCTGATTTGATTGATTTAAGCTGTTTTTGCTTTTAACATTTGAATTGTCTTACTTATTATTTTCACTATATTTTCATTGTATTTTCTTAACCTTTAAATGCATGTAGACCTACTTCCTGTTTTTTTCTTGCTGTTCTCTTGTTTTTTTTCTGTATCTTGTACCTCGGCACCGTCCATTGCAAATGAGGGTTCTCCCTCAATGTGTTTCCGAGGATTTAGGTAAAACAAATGATAATGATGAATAAATGGCCATGCATGACATTAACCAAACATTATTTAGATAATAACAGATCATGATACTCAAGGTTTCTTTATTTGTACCGAATGGTAAATTTGATGTGCAGACAGGGATTCAGCGTTTACAGAGATAAATACATCACATTACATAAAAACAATTCAAAGGAAACATTCAAACAAACAACATTGATTGCATCTGGCCATGGAGAAGTCCTCAAACAGACAGAAGCTGAAAAATCCTGTCATGGTTAAAGTGGTTAAAGGTAAGAAACATATTTTGTTCAGCAGAGCTATAGCTGCAGGTTTAAAAGACTTCCTGTAACGTTTTGTTCTACCTTTAGGAGTATAACAAATCGACAGCAAGAGCGGAGAAGCTGAAACTCCACATTTAAAGGATGAGATCTAAAAAATAGTGCTGTGTGATGTGTGAATAAATCTAATTCATTATGACTTTAATATCTGGAATAACAGTTGATTCGAAACAATGACATGGTAAAACCAGTAGAAGAGGGGGGGTATGAGTGTAATCGATCGTGATAATGATTGCAGACCAGTGTTGTTGAGTTTTACAGGAGACATGCTGCTGTTCAATAGAGGGCGCTACTTCTTTGAAGTGACGCGAAGAAGAGTGTGGTACATCTGTCTTCCCTTAGGTCCTCTAGCTAGAAATATATACCAGAGGAACAGGCACGGAAGGTTATTCGATTTTCCTACTCTCAGAAAGATCAAGCTAAGAAAATGTCTGGACGTGGAAAAGGTGCCGGAAAAGCCAGAGCAAAGGCAAAGACTCGCTCCTCCCGTGCCGGGCTTCAGTTCCCAGTCGGTCGTGTCCACAGGCTGCTGCGTAAAGGAAACTATGCCCAGCGTGTTGGTGCCGGAGCCCCCGTCTACCTGGCGGCTGTGCTCGAGTACCTGACCGCTGAGATCCTGGAGTTGGCCGGTAACGCTGCCCGTGACAACAAGAAGACCCGTATCATCCCCCGTCACCTGCAGCTGGCTGTCCGCAACGACGAGGAGCTCAACAAGCTGCTCGGAGGAGTCACCATCGCTCAGGGAGGAGTGCTGCCCAACATCCAGGCTGTTCTCTTGCCCAAGAAGACCGAGAAGGCTGCCAAGAAGTAACGACTCAAACTCTAACCCAAATTAACACAACGGTCCTTTTAAGGGCCAAACACATTTCCACAAAGGAGTTTATGGCGTTCCATGATCATGCAACCATTTCTATTAGTAATCAATTAATAAGATAATCCTTAATTTGCAATGGGGATATTTATATTGTTACAGCAGTGACCATTACAATGAAAGAGTGAACACACTACATTTTAAATATAAAATTAAGCATGTATGGATTGAACACTGAATAATAATGAACAAACAGGTATCTGATGACATGAAGCACAATAAAATCCACCTCCATCTCATCTGAAAGCAAGTAGTACCAAGCACACCATAACCCATACACTAAACTATGTACGTATTTGCAAGTGATTGTGATCATCCCTGTACAAAAACTATTTGTGCTTTATGGCAATTACTACCCTGTTTATTAGATCTGCCTTTAAATTGTTTTAGACATATTATGTTTAGTCAAGCCCACGATATAAGTGTGTCTGTTTCTCAGTCATATACAGTAACATTAATTAGCGAAGACCTCCAATATGAGGCAGTCTTATATCTTGATTTAGTTATATTTTAGATAAAAAGAATATGTTGCTAATTATTTGTTATTTAGAAAAAAATGTGTTACATGGGGTCCATATAGTTTGTTCTATGTCCCCATAATCTTCCTATCAGTATTGGGTGCGGTGTCAGAGACACTTTAAATGTTACTTGTACAACTCCTTTGTCAAATTAAGTCCCTTAGTGACCCAACATCCTGGATGGTTAAGGGGACAGATCATGTGAATTAGTGTGTTAGGTCATCACATGGGATAGCAAATTTGAAAAAGCTTGTATTTGTTGCTAAAGGGTAACAATTCTAATGCCTACATGTCCTTTAAAACATTTAACCTGTACACAACCATGTTGTGGTGTGTGAGTCACATCGGGCCTTCAACCAAGATAATCTGGTAAAACCTCGTGACATGTTCACAATAAGAGAAGTTAATGAAGCTGATCTCATGAACTATATGTATATTGGTTGAAATGTAAACATACACACCGTTAAATTTATTACATTAATAAAATACATGGTTTCCTATAAATGAATACCCTATTCCAGTGATATTTATGTCATGTGTTCTGTAGTTTTAATAACTCTGAGCAGTTCAGAGTTCAGGATGAACTGGCAGTTATTTATAGAGATGATGAAAGGGATGTGAAGCTCAAAGTAGGACCCTGAGTACACTACCAGCAACACATTCATGTAATAACAGGAGTCAACTGAGTCAGAGTCAGAGAGTATGTGAATTAAGTGATTTAAATCAAACAGGCTGATTACAGGATTTCTCTCTCACGTAAAATGTGGTGGCTCTTAAAAGAGCCGTTGTGGTTGTTTTGGAGCAGTAGACAGATTAAGCTCTCTCTCCGCGGATCCTTCTGGCCAGCTGGATGTCTTTGGGCATGATGGTGACCCTCTTGGCGTGGATGGCGCAGAGGTTGGTGTCCTCGAAGAGACCGACCAGGTAAGCCTCGCTGGCCTCCTGCAGAGCCATGACAGCGGAGCTCTGGAAGCGCAGGTCGGTCTTGAAGTCCTGAGCGATCTCACGGACCAGACGCTGGAAGGGCAGCTTGCGGATGAGCAGCTCGGTGGATTTCTGGTAACGACGGATCTCTCTGAGAGCCACGGTACCGGGCCTGTAACGATGGGGCTTCTTGACGCCGCCGGTGGCCGGGGCGCTCTTGCGGGCAGCCTTGGTGGCCAGCTGCTTCCTGGGGGCTTTGCCTCCTGTGGACTTACGAGCGGTCTGCTTGGTTCTTGCCATGTTTAAGTTGTCCTCTGGTTGTGTTCAGTTAACGGATGCTGCCTCAGCGTGAACAGCGGCTTTATAAAGGAACTGCCGAGGCGGGGTCTCGTCTGATTGGCCAAGGTTGTAAGTCATATGCTCTTTATCTAAGCAACTATTGGACAAAATAAATTCAATCTCTAACGGCTTTCAACAGCAGCTGGCAAACAATTGAAAGAAATGTGAGCAAAATAGTGATCTTTAATTTGTTTGATGTAGTTACTAAATATACTAGTGTACAATACTCACATACATTTTTTACCACTGACTATTTGGCAGTCAGAGAAGAAGTCACAAACATGTCAAATTTAAACACAAAGTAACATCATTCTTAATATGTCCTATATTTGATTTGGTTCTTTTTTGGATCTTATTTCTCATAGACATTCAGATTATTCCTATAGCCTATGTTCTTCTATGTACTTCTCTGTAATTCATGATGTTATCAGAGCAAATAGATATTTCACCATTTGTCTCCATTAACTCATAATGTAGGCTCTGTTGACTGGTGGCTTTAGATTAAATTATATGATTATTATTTCACCTAAAAAAAACCCTTGAGGACTTTAAGTGCAGCTCATTCAGTCTCCACTCTTTATGCTAAGCTATATAGCAAAAGCTTATGTTTACTTTACAGACATGAGATTCATTAATGATGCACCTTTAAGTAAGTTGCACCTTATTTGCCAATTTTACACTTTGGTTGCAGTTTGTAGTCGAGCGACTTCTCAGACAGCAGCAGGTCAGTCAGTCTGCACGGACTTCATGTGAGAACCAGGAACTCCCGTAGTGAACCAAAATCTGCTAAAGCGATATATTTTAACAGCTTTTATCTATTGCCATCCAACAAGCTATACATTTGATTTATTTTCCTCCTGTAATTGTTTGATTTTTGTATTTGCACATTTATTTATGTGTGTATATTTAGGCAGATGCATTTTGCAGGTACATGTAAACATACTCACATTTATTGTGTGTGTATTTATTATTCTTTAATTCATCAGTAAGTTGTGTACAGATGACCTGAACAGGTTTCAAATGACACTGCAATGAAGTTGTTGTGCCCTTTGTGAAGGACATTTAATATTGTTTGAGTTGAGTTTTTTTTTTTTACACTGCCCCTCCTGGTTGTTTAAGTGAACTGAGTGCATCATCATCATCATAGGTATTGTTTGAGCATGTGTATATTTCAGCCTACCTGTGTAGTATGTCCCAACAGAGTGATACAAAACCGTACGAATCCCTGAGAGGAAATTAAGTTTATCTTCTTCAGAAGTTGGTGCTGCAGGCTTTGGGAAGCTTAAAGTAGAGCTCATACGTATCCACTCTGTGTGAACTGGCTCTGATAACTTTTTTGGAAGGATTGTATTTTAATAGACAGTAAGAACACGTTGATACAAAAGAATACACAGTGTTATTTCAACCTCTTTATTCCAAAAAGGCATGTTTCATTCTCACACCTGTATCCAGATCATTACAATTGATGGAAGAAACCTTGACTCAGAAAAACAAATAAAAATCCTTGCATTATGTGATAGGACGCTACGGCGTCATAAATCATCGCAGCCTCCATCGTCCATGTAATAAATACACTCATCGACTCTGTCAAGCCCTGGAAAAAGGATATGTTTTCTCGAAACGCTTTTTGTTAAGGCCTGGATTCGCTTAAGGTGGTGTACTTTTCATAAAACGTCACAACAGAATCAAAGTTGAATCGCAAAAGGATGGACATGTTTCTTTGAATATCGTCAAGAAGCAAGAATAAAGCAGATCGAGTTAAAGAGAGATGTTCAGTTCACAGAGGGAGCAAGTTAAGACTTTCAAATCACATTGTAGGAAGAAGTAGACGCTTCCACACCACTGGTTGCCTGACAGAAATGAAGATTTAAAAAAAAAAAAAAGAAAGAGGAGAAATTCAGCCAATTAGAAAGCCTCGTCCTCCTGCTGCTGGCAGCTCAGAGGACTTCTGAGCACGTCTGTCAATCCACGAGGGAGTATGTGGTGGAAGCAGAGAGTGATGCTGTTATTGTACCACTTATCTACACAGTGCACAGAAACATGTGACAGCAGATCGAAGGGAACCAGGTGGACACACGTCACACTCACTGAAGGTCGTGTGGAGCAACTCAACACATTCTGCTCCTCACACAACCATGTTTCCATGATTTTTTTTTTTTGTGAAATAGTGGTCTCGGATGATGAAGCTGAAAGGGTTTCAAATATGAGCAAATGAATGCTTCTTGTAATAGACATATTTATTATGACACTAGCAGACACCCAATGGTAGTGACTCCCAGGGGATGTGTATTTAAAGTGTAATTAAATTGTGATAAACAATCTCCCCTGTTATGAGAAATCCTGCAGCCAGAGATCATTTAAATGTTAAAGAGTGTTTGACTCTGCTTCATGCCTCAACAATAGACTGAAGAACGATGGACTGAAAGTTAAGAGAAAACATTGAGAGCTCCCCCCTACTGACTGTTGTCATTGAGGAGGTTTATGACTTATACAGCAGCCAGATGGGAAAAGGGTCACACTATAAAATCTAATCCAAGTCAAATAATTGTTTCTCCATCCTGGTTTCTGTCACTATAGTTGTTATCATGAAGATTTATACTCTGCGTTTAATTTCCGGGAAAGTTGAGTTTTGACTTAATGACTTATTTGATGCTGTAAAAAGAGCTATTGCTCCGTGATCAGCAGCTCTGTTGACAAATGTAGGTAGGGCTGTGTGCAGGAGGAAATTGCCCCAAAAAATAAATTAAATTGTACCGAATGCTGACACAAGAGTCATGGAACTTTCCATACTGACCGTGAATGTCTTCTTCAAACTGATGCAAAATCTGTTCTGCTGTGGACTGTACCCACCTGAGGGATCTTTGCTGTTTTATAGCGTTAAGTTAAATGTGTGTTTTGGTTCGCGGAGCGGGGCGGGATTTAATACTGCGGCTCGACCAGCCTACAGTGCTGACTCCGGCTCTAAATGTGCTTTATGTCAGTTCCTGTCACAGGGGAGAAGGTGGAGATGCTTCATCCATCTTTACACGCAGTAAACAGCCTCAATGTGTTACAGACTGAGATGGACTGCTGCACCTCTCATGCATTCTCATTAAGGGGTCAGATGTAGACCAGGGTTCATGGCCTGGCTTCCCTTGAAGCATCTAAAACAAAGATATGTTACTAAGTGAAATCCACAGCGCTGCTACAGATCTCTCCTCAACAGAACAGCACATACAGCTTGAAGGATGATTCAGGTTTGTTAGAACTCGGGTCTTATTTTCTTTGAAGTAGGGCTTCTGAAGAACTTTGGATCCTCGCTCAGTAACTGGTTATTAAAGTGTCCTCGCTGATTGTTTGACTGATTTTCTTAAGTTGAGCATGAACTGTTTGTTTTTTTCTCTGGGTATTTCAGGTGCTCAGTTGTTAACATGGTTTTATTTTGTTCTGCCATTGGAACCAAACACTTCATGGTGATGGACAATGGTAGACTTAACATTTAATCAAATAAATGAATGATTCAATGATTCATATTTTCCAATCAGTTAGGATGATATGATGCTGGTTTAAGTCATGGCTGACAGCTGGGCATCACTAACACAATGTATTTAAGTGTCCATTATCTATATCGCTTTCCCATTCATGGTTGGGGGGGGGGGGGGGTGTTATACAACTCTGCTTGTATAAACATTTGTAGTTTGACTTGTACTGCCCTGGAGAAGTTTAAAAAATTCTCTAGTTCTAGATAACTCGGTGGTTTAGTTAAGAACTCTACTGATCATGCAGCTTGAGTCCAGAGTTGATCTTCCTGTCTTTTATTTTTTTTTATTTTTTGAAATGTAGCTTTGAAACAAATCCAATCAGTTCAGTTGAGTGTGATATTTACTAAAAGCCACTATGGTCAAACAAACACCACGTTAATAAACCTGAATTACCCTTAATGTGCAGTTTGGTTCTAAAATGAGCTGTCCTGTCAGGAGATCAATGCTGGATGTTTCTGAGCAGAAAAAAGCCACCGATTGTTGGAACGTAATCACACAATTGTTACAAGAGAATTTTAAGGAGAAAGTCAAGAAAATGAATCAAATAAAAAACGGACTAGTGAATATGTTCCAACATCGGGGCTTTCCATCGTATCACCGAAGACTAAAGAAGCGGGGTGGTGAGCAGATACGATGTAATGTAAAAACAGTTCTTCTGATTTTACATTACATTCATTATCTATCAAGAACATAATAACTAACAACAAGGTGATGACACCGTCCCCTTCATGCTGACATTTCTCTTTACCGCAATTTGAGTATTAGTAGGGTTTCAGCACTGAATTAGAGATGTGGTAGGACAGTGGTCTCCGTTTGTTCAGGGACCCTAACAGGTGTTACTTTATATCTGAATGACGCACTGCTAAAACAGTCCCAAACTGAGCCCCAGGATCAAGGACAGCTAATCTCTCTGGCTCTCCCCGTCTCCTCTCACATTCAAGTACAAAAAGAAAAGTGGGTCAAGGTCACAGTTCCTCAGGTTAAAACCAGTGTGGGAGGACCTCAGACAAGCCAACATCTCCTTCACCCTGCGTTATCAGGTCAAAGGACAGTCGAGGTTCTCCTGGGGCGACGAGAACATTTCCAGCCAGGGCCTCGCGGTGAGTCTGGCAGGGTGACAAGGGTTGGAGAACCTCAGGTGTTCATCGTTCATCTTGATTGGTGGATTTACCGTTGCTGCTTGTTTTTGTCGAAAGTTGTATGTTTTGTTTTCCCTCCCTCCCGTCCACAATGTGCCTCTGTCGGTGCTGGATGCTCTATAAAGATTTCTTGGTCAGTTTCTTGCCCTTTTTGAGGGAAAGCTTGTTCCTGATGTATCCACGCTTCCTCTTGGCTGTCTGCAGAGGAAGAAATCATACAATTATAAAATATGCTTTTGCCACATTATTATTACCGTCTACATTTACTGAGGTCAAGGTGCGTGCAGTGGTAAAGTTAGCTGAGTGCGCCCTCTCCTGGATCAAACTGCTAACTACTTCAGACTATGCTTAGAATGTGAACGGCTCAGTGTATGTGTGAACTTTCTCCACACGGTTTGAATGAACATTCAGATTCAGAATAAGATCTACAGCCCTTTAGCTTCATACAGCGAACTGGATCAATACGGCTCAGTGTGTGTTTACATTGCAAAACATATCTGCTTGGAAGTATAGCCAACACGGGTCAATGGTTTAATTTTAATTGAATTGTTTTTATTTAACCAGGAACACGCATTGAGATAAAACATCTCTTTTTCAAGAGTGTCCAGGCAAAGACAGGGAGCAGCACAATGAACCGAGTTTCACACAAACAACGAGCAGCAAACATGCAAACACAAAAATACATCATTAGGTGTTACAAAATGCTAACATTTATACTCGATCGTCTGTATATTTAAAGTTTTTAGACCTACACTGTTTCCACTAAATGAAATGGAATATTTTCAACACAGCACCAGGGAAAGTAGACTTAATCTCCTTGATGGGAGGTTGTGTCAAATGTCAAACAGCATGTGATGATTTTTAAAACATTGAAACTCCACATTAGATTGAACATAAAACCAGATGAGATGTTGAAGGTGAGATGTTTTTGAATTTCATGACACTATCACATTTCCGTCACACGTTTGATATTCTTTTAACAACAAATCCTGAGGAGACCAGCGTCTGTCATTTTGTTTGTCGAGTGTCTATTTTTATTTAGGGTTCCATGTCTAACAATTCAGGGTCTCTTTTCTCTGATGCTGCGCTTCCTAATGCCTAAAACCTTTTTTCATTTGATGAAGAAGTCAAGACTGCATGAAGGCCGAAAGACATGATGTTGTAATACGTTGATATTTTATGGTTTGGCATCATCTTGCTGAAATAAGGAAGACCTTTCCTGAAAAATGAGTTGTCTGTTTAGCAGCATGAGTCGCTCCAAAACCTTCATGTGTGGTTCAGCATTAATGGTGCCTTCACAAATGTGCAGCAGGTTACCCATGCCACGTGCACTAATTCATGCCCATAGCATCCTGGATGGTTTTTGAACTGTGCACTGATAACAAGCTGTATTAGTAACAGCTGGAGTACAAGTTACTGTACGAGAGAGGAAAAGATGCATCCAAATTGTGCAGAACAGACTCACTTTGTGAAAAATCTAAAACAGCCGTTCATAACGGTAATGAGAGTTTTCTATAAATGCCCATCCCTACTTTGTGGTCACTTCGAAAGACATGACGCCATGCAGTGTGTGAACACATGAGATCAGAGGATCCCAGCTTACCTTTTTGGAGGTGTACTTCTGCTTAGTGGTGTCAGTGCTTCTCATCTTGTGCTCTACCCGGTCTCTGTTCTCCAGCTTCTTCACCTTATAAATCCTGACCAGCCAGTGCTCGGAGGTGAAGGCTTCCTCCAGGTGCTTCAGCTTTATGTCCTTGTTGCCAATCTCAGCGTTGCGTGTCCGGTCGAAGCCTGGTGGTGTCCGGAAGTCCAACTTCAAACAAATGAAAAAAAGAGTGAAGTAGTTTATATCTTCACCTTGGGACTCTTTTCACTAACATGTGTTCTTTTGTCAGTCAGCTTAGTACGCACAGCAGAATGAGGATAAATGACGACTCACCTGCATTTCTCCAAAGCGGTAGTAAGACATTTTGTACATAAGGCAGTTGAGGAGGGTGGGGGAGCCGGCTTTGTCCACTCTGAACTCTCCCTGTGGGGTGAAGTAGTCACTCTCCTGGGATGACAGGTGAGACATGGGGGCAGATGGAGGGAACATTAGAATATTTACAAACACACTAGAGTTCATCATTTAATTTAAAGTCAAAGCACACTCAGTAACGGATTCTAGATTTCCCTCAGGGAGAACAAACATTCAAGCGTCACACTGTGATTTACATGAATGTTTGAGTGATCACACATACATATAAATTCCACTTTGCAGGCGTCTGCCATCACTGCAGTGAAATATTTACAAACAGCTCATGGGTCAGTTCGTGTTTCTGCTGATAAAAGTGACTCATTAGAATCACTAAAATAAAGTTTGTGTGACGTCTCGCTCACCCTGATGTCCCTGGGGTGCTCGCCCTCCGCGATGCGCACCATCCACAGGAACTTGTTGATGTCATCGCCCGAGTAGCCGATAACACCGCCGAAGATGATCAGGACATAGTCAACGTCAAGTGACCTCATGATTTCATAGGCTGCACTTTCGTTGGATGACATGGCTTTGCCCACCTGGATGAACACAAGACACACACGGCAAAGTTACGATCCATTTTCACCAAGTCTGTTTGTGAATCAAACGACAGGAATATTTAAACTCAGGTCAGTTCATTGCTGCACACTCAGTGTGTGTGTGGGGACTCGATCTGAAGACGTGTTCCTGTGAAAGTGTTTCCAAATGAAAGCTGTTAAGTAGCATCATAGGAGGAAAGGGCTTCAGTGTTTTTACAAGTTGATTCATATAAGCAGCTTGAATGGAGGAGATCTCTGTATTACTTGCACTCTCTTTAATCTGTCTAATAACATTATTTAAAAACCGAATGTGTGACTGTTAGTCATTTTTAAAACCCACAACAAGAAAATTCACAACTTTTTTTTGGCACGCGCAGCATCAGTGCTTTCCGTATTTCATGTAGGACTCATCGGCTTTTCCCCCCATTATCTCCAGTTTAAGTAAAAGCCTTTTTGCGTATTTTACAAGTTGCTTCATAATCGTTGTTTAACCAGAACAACCTTTCCCTGTATTTCATTCGAGATCTTACATTTCCTCATCGTCTTCTCCTTCTCTCTTTAGTTTGCAGCTTGTGAAAGTGTTATCTGCTGTGATTATTCACATGAAGAAGATCATGAAAATAAATCATAAAACACTTACTAGACAGTGTAAATTGGATCAAATTACAATCTAAAATTGACAGTAAAATTTGGACTTTTTAAGACAATTAATGACCTTGAAATTAAAAATGTAATTGAAGATGTTTAAGACCTTTAAGGATCAACAGGAACCTTTTATAAAAGTCTTCACCGTACCATAATACTTTACTTTAACCCCTTATTTACAAACAGTAAGGCTCACTAAGTGTTCCTGTTATTACTGAGTTCTCACTTTCATTCATGTGCAATGCAGTGATATATTATGTCCACTAGGGGGGGCTATGAATCAAGGCAAGAAAACAACATTGAGTACCATGCAGTGGTACTAAAAGGAGCTGTTATCACTTTGACCAAACCGGAAACAAACAAGAGTAAAATATTAAGTCCACTGATGTTAAGTTGTTTTTGTATTCTATGATTTACATTTAGAAAAAAAAGTAATGTATCAATGGCATGACGATGTAAACAATGACAATCATGCGGAGTGATGGACCGACAACTATTGAATGAAAGCTGCTTCTCCTCTGGTTGTGGATCAGTGAGCAGAAGAAATGAGCTGAAACTCACTGTAAAGCTCCAGAAAGCACACTGCATTGGTTCACAGCATGCAGCTGTTTCAGCAAAAAAAAAAAAAAACATACAGCACCTGCTTCAACTTCAACACTTATATCACAAAGCAGTAAATGCAAAACATGTCATCTGACGCCAAGCATGAAAACTGCCAAGAGATGATCGTGGGGTGAGATAAGCGTGTCCGGTCAAAGACGTGACAGTTGACATGTGTACTGTAGGTAATGATGAAGCAGAGCATTGATGACCGTCATTTAAAAACAACTCAAGGTATTTGTGAGCAGAAACAGTTCTACCTCATGCTATTGCAGGCAGAGTTTCACACACACAGACGATACATGGGCGGACCACCAAAGTATATTTATTGCCGCCCGAGTATATTTCCGACCCGTTTTTATTTATTCATAAAATTGCCGTGTGTTTGTGCATCATAATGTTAATATGCAACAAATCTGATTGGATGCCTTGTCAGGTGTGTTGGCAGGATGAGACATGCAAACCACTCGTTTAGACTGACCTTCACTCATGCGACTCGTACCTCATCGGGAGAATCTTAAAGCAGAAATGTTTTCTGACAGAGCGTCATATTCTATGAAAAAAAAGTTCAACCTGCACATTTAAGAGAGTTGATGTGTCTATGCTTAGTCCCAAGGCATAACTTCTTAGATTTAAACGCCTTGCATCATCAGGTTCCCTCCAAATGAAGATCTATGTTTAAATTAAGATAACAGTAGAAACTTTAAAAGGTGCCATGTCAATGTTTGCCTTTGATGCCTAAAAGAAGTCGAAACAAATTAATCTATAGCTTCTTTCTAGATTAAAAAAAAAAAATCCACCTGGAGTTATTTTCAGATTTGACGAAGCTCATCGAGAACCCCGGGAGACAAACGGGCGCTCTCGCATGCTGTGCAGTTCTCACCGTGTGTACAATTAGTGGGATGTCTCTTTGATCAAAAGCCCCTTACATTAGTCTGTTTCCATAGAGTGTTACAGGTACAGCAGCAGCTCTCACCAGCGCTATGTGACTGTTGTTCCACGTGTTGTTGTCGACCAGCGTGGTTCTGTTTGCCATGCCTGCTATCTGGTACCCGTAGTCCCACCACGACATCACTCTGGCATGCTCGTCTGTGTTCTGCCTCAGCCAATAGTAGGCCTCTCTGAAGTCATCCAAGATGTTCCGGGAGCTGGTGGAGAAATGTGAGAGGCGGGAGGGGGAGGTTAGTGTTTTCTATTCATGTTAGACCGACACTTCAACCTGGCAGAGATTGCAGAGCACCTGTTGTGTTACTCTTACCCGTCGTGGTTATACGATGCCAGCACAACACTGGGGCTGGAGTAAGCGTTACTGGTGACCCAGGTGCAGTGCACAGCGAACATCATGAGCAGCATCAGCATCAGCATGGTGACTATGGACTTGATGTTGGGACCCAGGCCCTCCTCGGCCTTCTCCTGCTCCGACACGTGTTTTCTCACTTTACCGGCCTGCACGGGGACAAAACGCAGCGTCACAGGACACCGCATGTAAAGGTTACTGAAACTCTTAACAAGACAGGAGTGCTGTAAAAAATGAGCTGATAATATACCAGATGACTGTTAATTGCTCGCGCCGAGAGAATTCCCAGACAGACAATTAACTGCTGTAGCTGTTTTATGGTGGCCTTTAAGGAGGCCTGTGATGGGTTTGTAATGCATTATTCCCACTGTATCGATTAAGGAAGAAGAGCAGCAGAATGATGGCAAAAACATTGGACATCGGTGCCATTTTGGTTCCCTGAGGAAGGAGGAGGATGCAAGTGATGACGTTACACCTTTCTTTATGTTTAATCACAGATACCGAAACATGTTAACAGTACGTGTATATTACAGTAAGATCCATCCAACAACAACTAAAGCACTTCACAGAGAGATCGTCTTTTGTTTATGGTGACATTGGGGTTATTCTTTCCTCTTTTTGTGGTGTTTTGGTGAGATTGGATTCAATGGACAGCTTCTGTTTAGGATATAACTGATCGTAATGTGTGTGTAGTGTTGAAACTACAACAACAAGTTGTCCCGTTAATGCCATTCAAAATAAATTATGATACAAAGTAGGGGTGTGCAGAGACGTCATTATCTGTATTTGGATAGAAAAGTGGAAGCAGTGTGACTTATACAGGAAGTGTTGGTATTTCCTTTTTAGCTTTCTATCATCAATTATCATAAAAGGATGAGAATAGATGAATCAAATTACAACTGAACATTAGATTTAAGGAAGTCATGTTAATTCTGGTTATTCAGTAGTGCATTCAAAGCATCAAATAGATTTACTATTGGCCCCTACAAAGTGAAGAAACACATTTCTACCCCCTCATACTGTAATTTTTTCATCTTTAGTGGAGAACTGAGATACAAGGTACCACAATAGACTGTAAATAATATAATACATGTTATGAACAGACTGTAGGTGTAACCAGTTGCCACACCAGACTCTTATCTGCCAGTGTCTGCTACAGAAGCTCTTCCTAACCTTTCTCCTCCTCAACGGCTACGGACGTACTCAGAACTGGAGTTACCTCCAGTAACTCCTAGTATCCCTGAGTGATAAAGACAATGTTTAAACCAAACTACGACTGGGTGTGTCAAGTGGAGGAAATAAACGCAAACAGTCAGAAACTAAAGGTTCCGAGAGTGTTTTAAAGAAATCCGCCTGACAGACACGAGGCTTTCACTGCCGAACTATTAATGCCTCCTCCACCAACGTGCCACAGTGAGAGACGGCAGCACCACGCACTGCTTGTGGGTAGAGAGTCTAGGTCTACAATATCTAGCAAATAACTTCAATAATGTGGACTAAATGAAACAACCCTTCGACTAGAGGTGGGAAAAAAATCGATTCATGTAAAAAATTGAGATTCTTATCTTCTGAGACTTAAAATAGATTCATAACTTCCAAAGATCGAGGAGCAGGAAGAAATTCAGCCAGTCTCACAGATGACTGGAGTAGATCCTGAAGTATGTACTAATTCAAAAATAGACTTTGGATCATGAACTCAGAATCATTTTGAATCGAAAATAGATTCTGAATCAAATCATGAGACACCCAAAGATTGCCAGCTCTACTTTGGACTGAGTGTTTTTTAAACTAGGAAATTAACACATCCTGCCGCATTGACAGTTTCTTCTCTTGATTTTGATATACATCACAGAGATTTGACTGAAATGAAGACACAGTCTCAGTGAATGAATCCAGCGGGGAGGAGCAGAGGAAGATGTCTGGAGCTGGAGGGGCTCAGCCAGCACATCGCGTGTGACATAAAGATTTACTTTCTTTTTCTAATTCCCTGAAAATAACGAGCATATTCGGACATAAAACACATCCGTGTCCATCTCGTTTTCTCTGCCTTTGTTGCGAAGAATGTGTTGAGAAGGTGACACATAACGCACACATTCTGACCGCTTACCTTATCATAGAGGTTTCCAGCGTTCTTCCTGTCGTCCTCGTCACTGCTGTCCTCTGCGGGCGGGCTCTGCCTCTTCATGTCGTCTCCCAGGTAGTGTTCAAAGACACTAGAGAAGGCCACCGCCGACAGCATGCACACCACCGGGGTCAGAGTCAGCATCAAACGCACCATTACGCCGGCGAAATACACAGCGCTGATGGCATACAAGGCCACTAATGACATCAAAGCAGAGAGAGAGAGAGAGAGAGAGAGAGAAAGGGTTAGATGTTACCAGGATGTTGTCACTGCTTAATGAATTTGACTGGATTATAATTAATATCAAAGTGACAGTTCATTCAGTCAAATTACTTTAATAGAAAGCTGTCAAGTCGTATTAAAGTAGCACTTTCTCTCGTATGTGTTTCATTCATTTTTTTGTACACAATCTCTGCTTGGAGAAGATCTCACTGTCAGGTGAAAACGTAGCAGCAGAGAGAATGGATGGGCACGTCACATGTTCAAACACAAACCCCCTATGCTTTTCCTCTGTGCGTGTGTGTCTGCATTAATCGAGCATTTTCACCTGAACGCAGAACAAAGAGTCTCTGTGAAATGAGTAGGAGGAAACAGGTAAGAGAGGAACAAGAAAAAAACAAAACTGACAGACAAAGTGAGGCAGGAAAAGTGAATCAACAAGAGAGCATAAAAGGCAGAGGAGTGGGAGGGGGAGACAGAGGAAGGGTTCGCTCAGGTAGAACTAATGTATACATTTTTCACTCAAGGAGAAGTAATGACACCTGTGACAAAAAAAACAACAAGGACGTGTATGTGGATATGTATTTCTCTCACAGCAGCATTTGGTTAAAAACATGGCTGATTTCCTGAAGTTATTTTTAAAGCTGAGTTACTTTACGATACTATCCAACATACTGTATGGTCGTAAAACATACAATAACAAAAACAATTTAAGTGTAAAAAAAAAAAAAACATTAAAACATTCTAACTTTTATTCACATAGTTCCATATCTCACTCATTGCGACCCCCCGTTTTCATTTGATGGGAGTCATGTCTCTTCTGTGACATTTTCCCATCAGTTAAAGTTTTAATGTTGGAGGGCAGTACTGCACCAGCATTCAATACTGAAACAAAGTTTTGCAGATTTTTATTGAAAGGGTAACTTGGACAGGTTTTATGACCCTCAACCTTTGTCTGGTGTTCTAATCTTCAAAGAAGGAGGGCTCATGGTGTGTTCATGGCTCTTACCAAAGACACGCTCATCGTTGATGTTCTTAATGCAGAACCAGAGGCCGGCTGGGAAGGTGCAGACGAGGATGTGAAGGTCGAAGAAGAAAGACACCCAGGTGGTGGGCTGGTGCTCGGACACTGAAGCTATAATGGGGATGTGGATCTTAGCGTAGCTGTGGAAAACATGGGAGACAGAGAAGAGATAAATACAATAGTTCAATAGTTCATTGGATTCCATTTTATCCTCACTTATTCTAAACAGAATTCCTCTTAAACGTTATAAAGCTGTGAGATATAATTCATATTGACAAAGCAAGTTTGGCTGACCTCAGTCATACTGGGTCAGGGATGATGTCATTACTCTGACTGCAGTGCAGTGAAACTGAACTTTGCTCAAATAAAGTGTGTAAACAAGCCCAACAAACATTGTGAGTTTTGAATGATTGTGCAGTTTGGCACTTTCTTGTGAGCAAAGCTCTGAGAGGGAAAATGGGAGCCTGAGTGATCGGCTGACTGACTCAGGCTCTGACATTAAACATATACATAAACACATGTATATATATTTTACAGACAGACAGAGGCAAGGCCAAACTGTAGGATTTTGTGTGTACTTGATTGAGTCAAAAATAAACAAATGTTCATTTAAAAAAGTGAATACAATTGTAAACACAATGACCTGCTCATAGTGACCTCAGTCAACCAACAAGCTGAACTTTAAATTAATTTATATTTTGAAAAAAGGAAGATCTGTTAAACTGTGACCGGGAGCTGGGACAGATTTGCATAACTTAAAATCATTTGAGGTAGAACATTTTAACAACAGCATCTGTAGGCTTAAATTAAAGGCAACAACAACACAATCATACACAGAAGAGACACAATACCACAGAACGTCGCTCTCACTCGCCATTTTCAGACCGCTCTTATCGCTAAATTGCAGTAGCTAAGCTCGGCCGCCATCACGTCTTTGTTCATTCACATTGATTCTGAGACATTGTCATATTGGTGTCCTAGTCAGTGAATTCACATTGCAGTATAAAAAAAGGCTTGTTTCTCTGCAGAGTGTCTGATTGTCAGTAGATGTTTCTTGCGACAGAGAAAAAAATAAGAGGAGGAACACAGTGGGCAGGGTGAGTGGAGAGATAGTGCACTAATGAATCATTGATGGTTAGCTCTCTGACAGATAAAAATAACATTAAAGCGCATGTCATAGATTCATATCAAGTTCACCAACATGAGAAGGACATGTAGTCACAGTGAGTTCCTTAAAGGAATAGTGCAGTATTTTTGGGGTGAGTAATAAGTACATCAGCCACAAGAGATGCCGGTCAGATCGACAGTTTAAGGAGAGACGGGCTGGAGTGCAGGCCCTGAAGATAGGCTATAGTTTGCTGCAGACGAGGTTGTTCACTGAAAAAGGTATGCTTTAATGAAACAATGAATAACAGAATGCTGCCATGACTGTCTGGTGCAGAGGCATAAAAGAAGTTAACAACCTTCACCTGTGCACTATGGGAACATCTGAGACAGACCTGAGCTTAATAAATTAAATGTTTGATTCCAGACTAAATCACAATGTAGAAATAAATCTGAGGAAAATTACTCCAACTCGGCCACTTTCCATCTCGTACAGTCGTAAAGGTAAATTTGCACGACTCCACACCCTCTAAATCTAACTCTTTATCACTACTCCAGTGAGCTATTTTAAATCAAAGTGAAACACATTTAACGGTGAGGACTTACCCAGTATCCCAGAGGGAGTAGAAACGTCCACTCCATGGAGCGATGTACCCTGAAGGGGAGAAAAAAAACAACAACATATGGACTCAGTAGGCATCTAAAAATGTGATTTAACACACACACACACACACACACACACACACACACGTCTGACCGTCGGCGACCTGTGAATTCTGTCACACTCCAGTGGAAGGTATAATTGGTTTGCATCACTCCTGGTGCATGTATCGATCAGATAATTACTTTACAACACACACCAACACACGCTGAATACAGACACGATGAGTGGCTGTGACCAGCTCTCTCTGACCTGCTGTCCACTCAGCTCATCAGTGTGATGATCAACGAGAACACAGAAACTAGTCGCCTGTTTAAGGTAGCCAGAAGCTCGTCCTGTCTTACATGATCTCAGTGGATGGCTGATTTTCACACACTATTGCTTAACATGTAGAATCTCAAGAACCACTGGCAGAGATTCAGACTTAATTTACTGTGACAACCATTGTTAGACCACGGAAGCATTTCTGTGTGCTTCTCTTTACAAAGTTTTAAATGGACGTGGAATTGATTAACACTTTTCTAGTCTTCTCACCACTCAAATCACTTTAACACTACATGTTACATCACTGCTTATCAGCACTGTTCCATTCACAAACCACATGTGGAGCAGCGCCAGCTATGTGGGGCTCAATGTATTGCCCGAGGACATTTTGTTTGACACATGACTGCAGGAGCTGGGGATTGAACCCCCAGCCAATCCTTTTGAGAGACGACTGACTCTACCACTGAGCCTCTTGTGCCTTTGACAGAGAGTGTAATATTATCAGAGGTTCCTCCTCTCTAAAAAGAACAGACTCAGAAACTATAGAAGAAGAAGTAAAAACACATAAACCAGTTAAATGTTAAAATGTAATTATTTCCCAAACACTCCTTGCAGTCACAGGGTGTTTGAAAAAGCTTCACAATGAGCTGGTGTTCCTTTGTCAGGGTTTCTTCCCTGTTAGTTGTCAAAAAGAACATGAACGTACCGGTGTATGTCAGATAGATGACGGAGAGGAAAACTACTCCAGCAGCCACAGACACTCCCAACAAGAACAGAGTCTGGAACTCCTGCCTGGTCAGTCTGTCCTTCAGGTACTGCAGGAAGGCATAGACCTGAAGCAGCACAAACACACCTGGACACAAACAGCACACACATGAAACTGAGGTTAAGATACAAAAAAACAAACACTCATTAAGTAGTGCATATAGCAATAAAGCAGAGTTTTGTTTTAAAAGACGGGAAAACGTTTAACTGAGTAAGTATAAATAATAAAACCTTATTGTCTTTTTGTTGTTTCCATCGTTATGATTTTCATTTTTATGATGTTAATTGTGTTTTAGATGAACAGGAAATCTGTTTGTAAAGGATTCTATCTTAGTGTTCTGTTGTGTACATATGAATTATATTATCAAAGGAATGTATATATGACAACAATGTTAAGGTATAAAGAAGTTGGCATTAGCTAAGTTCTTTAAAGATAACTAATCATCATGACATGCTCCAGTTCAAACACTGATTGCATTTAAGGAATGGTTAGCCAAAATCGACATGGTCCAGATCAGAGGTGCATGAATAATTCATTGATGCATTAAAGTCAATCTTAAAACAACACTGACACACGTATGACATATGCATGCTACATATGAAGTTTAGATTGTTTTTTATCTGCAGATCAGATTAAGGCTGTGCAGTTTGCATTGACTTCTATGAATTTAACACTTTATCCACATTGTTGGCTTTTAATGTATTTTCCAAAGGTGAGTGGTTACCGACCTGCTGCAGCCATGTGTTCACTGGTCCTGATTGGCTGAAAGCCCACAAAGGGGATCTGCATGGACAAGACCAGGCCGATGATGTAGAAGGTGCTGTAGGCTGAAGAGAGAGACGACCAGTTAAAGACCAGTTCAAACCAGTCCAATGCAAACAACTACAACATTACATGTGAGCATTGTTTTGACTCTTAATTCAAATTATTATTTAGATTGTTTGATTTGTTTTGTCTGTGTGGACAAAATATTTGCTTAAATCCAAAAATGTAAAAAACTGAATCTGGGAACACAAACTCAACAGCAAATGTTTGCTTAAAAAAAAAAAAAAACTGATGTATATTTTTAAAGATTAACATTCTGGATAATAATCAACAGGCCTGAGCACAATCTCAGAACCCACAGACAAATCATTGTCCTTCAGGTCTGATGGTGACATGTGCCTCTTGGAATAAATGCAAATGTACTGATAGTTCATGTTAGGGCTGTGCTCAAAAAAGCGATATGGCATAATATATCGTCATGTGCTCCTTGCAAATACATGTATCCATGCAGATGTTACAGATTCAATTAGCAGGGAGAACTCCCATGATTCCATGCCAGCCCCTAAGTCATCTTTTTGTTATCGTTTTAATGACAGCCCCCTGGTGTCAGGATTTACATTCTGTACGTTTTACAAAAAGAAATCTAGACATTTATACAATATGTTTGACTTTATATTAATATAAAAGATGATCTAACATGTGCACAAACTCAGAATCAAAGTTATCACACACTGAGAAAAAAAGGCAACCCAGCTCACCCTCTCTCTACCATCGATCACAAAAGCAAGGTAATTCAATCAATACAACATCCCTTCTCATATCCATGTTATCTGCTAAAACCCTACTCAAGATTATCACACAATGCATATAACAAAAAAAAATAGAAAATATTCTAAAATTAGTTAAAAAGGTATTTTATCCTTTAATTCATGGCCCCTACAGTCAACAATGAGTGAAAGCAGGATGAGATTGATGGAATCTATTCCCTCTGCCCTCCAAAAACAGAAGCCTATAAAGTCCTTGATGCAGCAAACAAGAACAAAACACCTTCGAAGCTTAAATCAAGACTGACAGTCGAAGAGCGATTAAGCTTTAGAATTCAAACCATTTACACACTGGGGGAGTCAGCAGCACAAGGAGAAAACAGACTCTCTGTGAACACCTAAACTAAACCGAAGAACTGTTTCAAACAAGCCCTCAGGGGTCAGAAGCACAGAGACAAAGCTTCAATAAGAAAAGCCCCTACACAGGCTCTACTGATCAAATACTGCTGCAGCAGCACCACTGAAAGAAAAAAGTTTGTTCCATCGGTAAGACGCATTCTTCTATTAGATGAAGGAAACAAACCAGGAAATGTAGGCAGATGTTTACATAAACAGTATATCAGGATGCAAATCGAGTTCTTGCGCTAACTGCAGTTCATTAAAGTTTTTTATAACATTCTGTTATTGTTGATCCTGAGCATTCACTTAAAGGTCAAATATTATGTAAAATACACGTTACCATGGTTTCCTAACACTGATATGTGTCTCTAGTCTGTCTACAAACCCCTCAATTATGAGGAAAGTCCATCCACTTCATCTTTTCCCTGCTCCACTTTTCAGAAAATGTGTGCTCAATCAGACCGTTTGGAGATGTTCCCTTTGATTTGTCCCATGACATCACAAAGGGCAGTAACCCCTCAGTAACCCCCCCTTGGCCCTATGACCAAGTTGGTGTGTAAAGATGGCCCTTCCCACTGAAGCACACCTCGTCTCTGGACGTAATAACTTTGTGTGTGTGTCGTCGCAAGAGTGCACCTGAAGGAGAACTAACAGACTTTCTTAACCGAAGAAAATACTTTCTGTGGCCTAAAAAGACTTAAACAACAGAATCAACGGTGATCTGTATATCATTACTTGAACTTGATAGCAGAATCTTGTTATCTGAAGTCAGAACTCTTCTGCTGACATCTCTGCCTTACAGAACCCTGCTAATGAAACAGGACGGTAGGGTGAGAGCTGAGGGATGAAAGAGGTGTGCCTGAAGACAGCATTTGTTGTCATCCGAAAATCTGTTCCAAAACAATTGAGATGGTGGGAAGAGGTGTGCAGCTGTTAGCAAACTTTTAAACACCAGGGACTAAAACTTTATCACGGCTCGTTAGGTTATCATTTTTAATGACGGTAAAATAGGTAGCAGTACAATCATGAAGAAGATGTTTTTCTATTCAAAATCTGATCAGTCCAGTTGAAGATTAAACTTTAAGTGCTGAACTGTCTTATTCATAATTATCTGATCAACCTTATGACATTAAACTGAAGCCATCGTGTAGAACAAGGGATTCATCGGATCATCATTTAGGTACAAGACAAAAGAATCTAGCCTGAACCATCTGTGGTTTCACTTAAATCTGCAATACTGGAACTAATTAACTGTGTGTGTGGTGTGTTGTTGTGTGGTGTGTAGTTGAGGGATTTGGTAGGATGGGGTCTATGCCAATTTGTGTCTGGGCATAAAATCAAGCCTCAGCCCTCCCCACTGCTCTTTTCACCAGTAGGCTTCATTACGACACACTCGATTGCTGGAGTTACACCAAAAGATGCTAAACCAGCCTGCTGTTCTGTCACACATTACCGTTAGATCATGTTGTGTCATGATTATCTCACTGCATGAAAAAAAAAAAAAAAAACACCAAAGGGAAATTTAAGTTTGACTATTTTGCATTCCAGCCAGCATCGATTCATGTTTACTCCTTCCTCTGCAGTGCTTTAGATATACCACTCGTGAATCCCCCACAGTCACATTTATGTTTACATTTCAAGGATCAGATCCAAGGCTGTTTGTTTGTGCCTCTATAACTTGCATAACTATAACTGTGTTCATATGACGGCAGAGGGAAGAAAAATAGAAAAGGAAATCTGTATCACAGCACGCGACTCGAAAGGAACCAAGCAACCCTTTTTCACCAGCCCAAATGCACTAATTGCCCATTTGGATAAACTGTGCAATACAGTGTAATCAACTAGAATTATCCCTGCATTAAAATGCCCCCTTTGTGAATCTTAATATATTCATATTTGGTTAAAATTGTGTCAGGTTTGGATTTATTGCATTAATCTACTGTTGCCCTTAGAATCCCCAAACACAACATTTTACTATACAGAACAACTCGCTTGTAGTAGTAGAGTAATACAAACGTTTGACGAATTAAAATGATTAAATTATAGGATTATTAAGTCTGATTGCTGAATTAAAGTGACACTTTACACCTTTTACAATCAAACTTTAGATTTTTAAAAGAGAAGACAGCTCCAGTGTTTTTACAAGTTGATTGAAATGAGCAACTTGAACTGAGGAGATCACTTTTTAATACAGTATGATTAATTACAAGTTGGCTTCACACTGTTTAAAAAACAACTAAAAATGTGTTCTGATTTTTCTTTAGTTGGTTTTAGAAATATCAGAACATTGAGGCACCACACAGCATCATTGCTTTTCCAATTGTATGTGGGATTCAACAGGTTTAACTCCCGTTGTCCCAATTTCATATCTTGCAATATCTCGCCCCTGCCAAACTTTCAAATCGGCAAATCATGTATTTCCTAACTAGCCAGTGTAGACTTGATAAAGTGTTCACACATTAAGGTGTAAAATGTAAGAGCTCTCACAAGTAGACAAAAGACTTTAAGACATGTAATGACCTCATATTTCTGAATTCTAATTTAAGACTTGTACTGAAATAATCTTTTTGTGGTTATTTATTCAATTTAAGCATCTATTGAAAGATCCTATTTGCTGAAACTGCATAGAAGCTCAAAACTGGTCCCGTCATCTCATTCAATCTTGTTATTTCGCCCTGTTATTGGCAGTCAGGCAGCATAGAGTTGAAACTGTGTTTCCCCGCTAAAGGTCGCTAAATTCTGAGTAATATGAAGGTACCAGGAAGAAGAAGCCAAGCTGATGGCTGTTAAGGAGTTAAGCATCCATCAGAGGAGTTTGTATTCTAATTTTCCTTTTCTGCTGCAGACCAGATGCTGCTTATGTGAAAATTCAATTTGGGTTGGATTTTCCTCTCTGTATTTATGCTTTATTAGTCAGCGAAGACGGAGCGAGAAGAGGCTGGTGTGTGACAGGAGGTTACAGGCTGGGCTCCAAATTACAGTACATGGTATGCATCACAGAAAACAGTGAGCTATTGCTACTTTGAACTAACTCAGTTATCATGTTGCTGCAGGCTGCACTACTGGTCTTCAGAGAGAGGTGAGAGAGAAAACTGGGGGGGGGTGGTTGGGGGTGAAGGAGGTAGGAGGCCATGGAGGGTATATGGGAAAGTCAGCTTGACGCTAAATTATTCATTTTGCCGATAATCCTGTTGACGGATGTAGAAACCTCCACCAGTCAGCCTGTAGCGTTTCCCCTCTTCCCTCCTCTCAGTCTTCTTCCCTGTTCTATCAATCCTCAGTACGGCTTCTCTTTGATTCCACATTGAGCAGCTACCTTGTAAAGTTATCTTCACACAGTTGTGCACTTTTTAAGTCCTGATATGTCATCATTTCTGCAGCACTGTAACCTGGTTCTGTAGGTCTGGGCTAATGATTTGGATCTGAAACACCGCTATAGGGTTGTGGTGTCTGTAGGGAGCTGTGAGCCCCGGGTCAGGTCTTTATTTATGATCAGCAAGGCGGGTTCAGGGTGTGCGACAAGGCGAGCTCTTTGAAGGGAGGACAGCTTTCATCTTCTTTCCCCGCGTGCATTTCCTCCTTTATTCTCTCTTACTTTTACAACAGAGCCTCTCCACCTCTCTTTGGTAGATTCATGTAAAATTGCCTCATTAGCTGCGACTGTACTGAAATAATTACCAGGTATGGTTTATATACAGTAGAGATTAGACAAAGAATAACAAGCTACTCTGTGTGATACCTTCATATCAAAGTGTTTCGCTTTGAGTCTGTGCCCACCTATCCAAGGCTTACAGGCAGGAGAAAGGAAAGACAGTAAATAAATGAACAAGAAAAAAGTAAGCCCAAAGAAGAAAAATAACTAAATACATAAAAATTACAAAAATAAGACAAGGTAATACGTCTCCTTCACTTATAAGCATCATCAATAAAAAGCGTTGTTTAAAACGAGACTCTGGTGGTTTTAAACATCTAAAAGAAAGAAGACAAGGTCGCTCTAAATGCTTCATGGCATTTGGCTTTACTGCATCTCAACTTTTCTAGCTGCAGCAAAGAGAGCATTTCCTTAATCCAACTGTGAAAAGAAGGAGGGTTCTCTGAATTCCACTGGAGAAGAATAAGTCTTCAGGACATTAAAGACGCAAAAGCTACTGCCTTTGCTTGTGATGTAGAAACTGCAATCTCCGGAGGAGGGATCCCAAAGATGGAAATGTACGGAGAAGTTTTCCTACACATGAAACGACCTCAAAGATGTTTTTTTTTTCCAGCAACTTTAAATGACAAAACATTATGAAATTTAGCAGCAGGACTTTGATGTCGTCTTAAACATGCCGGACTAACATCAGGATATATTTTTGCGAGCTTGTCATTTGAATAATGAAGGCGATAAAAAAAAAACTTCAAACTGAATCAGACATTGTCTACTACAGAAAGAGGAAGTGTGAACGCTCTCCATGCAAAGCTGCCAGGACCTCCCAGAGAGTTCAGTGTTTAAGCCCCGCTCCCATGCCCATTGTGTTTTGTCCCATGAAGGTGGATTATTAGCTGAACCATGGTATAACTGAACTGAACCATGATTCATGTAAAAATGTCCCCTGAAGTGGAACCAGAAAATACAGTTTGTTTACATGTAGACTGTACAGGTAAGATGTTATTAACCCCGTTTGTTTGTTCTGGATTCACTTCACTGAACAGAAGCATCATTACAAAAAGGACATTACTGATGTCCTAGAATGAGTGTTAACATTAAGTATCCATGTGTGTGTGTGTGTGTGTGTGTAAAAGTTGCATCTCACCTATGTAGACTCTTCTACTGAAGCGCTGCATAAGGAGCAGGACAAACACGTGAAGAGGAATGAGGTTGATGATGAACACGTAGCCACCCCAGGCTGAAACCTGTCAAACAAAAACAAAAAAAAACACACTTCATTTAAAAAGACAGTTTTATTTTCTGATTGAGAGATTTGGAAATAACAGTCATTAATAAAATGGTGAAACTTATGCAAGCATGTGCACTGACAAATAAACAGTTGGTAAATTGCATATTGTTCCAATCGTCGTTTGATCCCTGCTGAATCCGTGCACTGCTTTTAACTGCAGAAAATAATCAGTATTGTTACCAGCCTACTCGCCCTTGTAGTTCCCTCAAACACACACAAACGCACACACACACATATGCACACACACACACACACTAAGATCGTTAGCAATAAGAGGCAGGGTGCAGAGCTGCACAGCCCACCGGAGAGCTGTAAAATCTTGATGAGCTAGGGCATTAACACTCCCATTCAGATTATGTCCTTGGTCCCTGGACCCTCAAAGACTCTCACACACACACACACACACACACACACACACTCAGGGGTCTACACATGTTCATAAAAACAGAAACACACGCATGCACTTCTTTTACAAGCTGTGTGCTCATTGCCTCAGAATGTCCAGAACTCCAAGGCTGCGAGAAGAAGAGGCATCACAGAGGACAGCGTGCTGGGAGAAAATCATCAATCATGCTGGATCATGTTTTATGTATAAAAAATGCTTTAAATGTTTTGAGGCAAACAAGCTTTGATGGACTTCCGCAGATGCCGGGTGACAGTCTGTCTGCAGAGGCAGCATGGTAAACATGACATTTAGATGTTTGTGTTCTGTGTCACAATGTGTGATGCACATGTTGCTCACACCCCGTTTTTAATGATTCACATGTTAATTCTGACCAGGTGGCAGCGACATCCTGGACTACAAAATGAAGCCAAAGCAGAGGTGCCACAAACTCCAGTCCCTCGAACAGTCAGGCTGGCCTGAAAAACAAGGCTCCACGTTGTCCATAAGTGAAAGAAGATTTAACCCCCTAAACTTGACATCTCGGCCATTGAAAACGCACAGAGATCCGCGAAAGCCCTGCGGCTCACTCACAGTGAATTTTCCTTACATTAGCTGCTGCGTTCAAACATCAGCTCACCCTGACTTCACGCAGATACTTCACTTTGGGGCATAATGCTCCTTAAATAGCCATGAAAGAACGTAAATACTGTTAGTGAAAGTACTGACAAATATGAACATAACAACATGAAATCAACATTTGTATTCTGTGTGTTCTCACCATGTAGAAATAGGAGAGGCAGCATCCGATGGCCCAGAATACTGATCCCGTCTTTACGGACTTCACCTGCAGTTAACAAAGAAGAGATTTTAACAGCACAAAAACACACAGAGTCAAATCTACATCGACTGCTGAGCTGCTCTTCCACTAATTATTATTTATTTTTTTTAACATTTGCTCTGTTGCTGCTGGCCCTCAAGGACTTTCTGAATTATTCACCATGTTTCCTCTTTAATGACCTGTACTAAGCAGAGCACCGTGTCCTACACTTCTTTACCCCCCCCCCCTCTCCCCAGAGCAGCACATGAGAGCTGCTAACAAGGGCTTAACAATGCAAACAAGCCGCGGATGCTATTGGCTGGATGAAAGTGGGGTAAAATAGGGGAGCTGAGCCAATGAGATGGAGTGGATGAAAAGAGCTGAGCAAGAGAAATAAAGATGACGGAGAGTAATGAGAGGGGGCACTTAAGGAAAGAAAAGGGCAGGTAAGATGTTTTTAAAAAGTTTGAATTCTCTCTCCAAGCATAAATCTAGTTAGAGCTTTACATCTTGTGTGTCCACATCTGCGTTTGATTTATGAGGGATTTGAAAAAAAAGTTAAAATTTTCTTCTGTAAACCGGGTTGGACTATTCCCAATCTAGCCATACCTCCAATTACCAGTGACTTCAGGGCTTTGTATCTGAGAGAAGATTTCTTATTTTAATCTCAGAGGTTTGTATGAAATGTCATAGTGAATTATGTTCACCAAGAATAACATTAGCCCATATAGCACACACACACACACACACACACACACAGACACACACACACACAGACACAGACACACACACACACCATTAAGGATCAGGGTGCTGGGATTAATCAAGAGAAGCAGATAAAGAGGCGTACATGTGTTTAAATACTTAAATGTATAAAAAAAAGACACAACCCCATTTCATTGGACACTTTGTAAAAAAGTAAATGAAAGACAACACATCTAATGTTGTTACTGAGAAGTGAGCGTTTTTTTTTGTTTTAAATGATATGCCCATTCTGAATTTGAAAAAAAAAAAGTTAGGACAGTGGCGGCAAAAGCCGGGGGAAGTTGTGAAATGCTTAAAAAAAAAAAAAAGGATAGTTTAGGATTAGTGTACTTCAGGCAGTCTGAGCATTTTCATCATTATCGCCCTAGAAACGTTTTTTTTCTTTTTTCTTGATGAAATACTAACAAACAGTTGCCTCGTCAGATAAAAACAACATGATGTCTGTTTTGAGTTTTGCTCCCCTGACTTAAGTCAAACATCTAGTTTTCTTTAAACTCTGGGTTTGGTGTAGAGTTGTTACCATGTGAGCACATTTCTGGTTTTTGCATCATCAACGTTCTTATTTATTTAATTACTTCCATAATTTGAATTTCTAAATAACACTATTATTAAATTAATTGATATAGTTACATGTGTTTTGTGTTGCTGCCTATGGGAGGAATAATTAAGTTTGTACAGGCTTACCCAGAGATAGTAGGTAAACTGCAGGGCAAAGATGGCGATGCCTTCGTTGTCGAAGGAGCCGGCCACAGAGCGGGAGATGTAGCCTGGCACAATTGCAATGAAGCAGGCAGCGAGAAGCCCCGCCCCCTGGTTCCATAGCTCCTTGGTGAGCAGAAATGTGGAGATGGAGGTCAGGCCGCTGAACACCGGAGCCAGGAACACACAAACGTCCCGGATGTGGACAGTGATGTGCAGAAGATTGAGCACATAGTGGATGAGGCCCGCGGTGACCATCAGGCCAGGGTACACCTGAAGGAGGAGAGGGAGGACGAAGCATCGGAGTTATTCAGGCTTTCTTCAGACAGGCAGCACAACTCTCAATCAACTGTCCAACAGACAACACATAAAGATCTCTGAAGAACTTACATTTCTGCTTTTGATACTGAAAAAATGGTTTCATTTACTTTGAATTAACAAACCAACAGATGTCTGCTAGCAGAGCTTCTGGATAGATCATGTGCTCTTTGTTAGTCACTGACAAACAATCAGGAAATAACAACTTAGCTCTAGGGACGTAACGATACCTTGAAAAAAACAAAACAAATGTATACAAATATGGAAAATTAAATGTAATGCAATACTCCTTTTAAACCAGCAGAGGGCACTATCTCTTTCTTGCTTCTCTTGTTCGATGTCAGAAGTGGAGGCACGGTGCGAAGCGAGGGAGGAGTTTGAGAAATTTACAAACAAAACAAAGTGAAGATATCGCAAGAGACGGATAAACTACTCATTAAAAACACAACGAGCATGACGTCGAGGGCCCGAAACAACAAAAACATAAACAACATACTTTGGGAGACAGGTTTGAAAACCTCCTTGTCTTAACAAGTGCGAGAACCAGTTAAGCAATTTTTTTTTTTATGATTTTTGGCTGAAGCTTAACACATAAGAGCCAGTTATTATGATTCAATGTTATAAAAAAAAGTGAATAAAAACTTGATATTAGGTGACACAAAGTCAGCTGTGGAGAAACATGCAGTGTCTTGCCACAAACAAATGACACAATGCATCTCTGTTTATTTATATAGGTGATCAATGTTTGTGCTTTTAACGTGTTTAATCATTTTGTATTTGTTTTAAAATGTTTTCTTTAAACATTATGAGCAAAAAAAATGTATGACAAAAATATATGCCTTGTTTTATTTTTAACTACGACCTTAAAAACTGTTTTATTAACCGGGGGAGTTCTCTTTGTTTGTTCTGGTCGGTGTTTATATTCCACCTCGGGCCGGTGTAACACACACTGGATCACTGCTTCACAGTTTCAAAGGACTCCTATGGCTCTGTTCCCCGTGCAGCTTTGGGATTCTCTGATCACCGTCTGAGTCATCTCATCCCGATTTACAGGCAGAGGTTAAAATCTGCTAAGCCTGTAGTGAGGACAGTGAAGAAATGGACAGAGGAGTCAAAGCTGGAGTTACAGGCCGGCTATGACTGCACTGATTGGACTGTTCGACAAACTCAATGACACTGTGACATCTAGTATCAGCTTTTGTGAGGGCATGTGTGTGTGCAGACCAGGACCTTGCAAAACTGTAACCTCCACCATAACTTATTATTTATTAAAACTGCAATATAATAAAAAATGAATAATATGTCCATGATAACAAAGTGCAATATTGAAGAAAACAGTGGAATAATCTTGAAAATGTGTGCATATATTCCACCTTACTCTTAATCTGGTAATTATTATTGTACCTATTACTGAAACCTTACTTATATTCCTATTCTAGTTGATTATTATTTTTATTACTATATTGTATATTTTTGAGCAACTGTAATGACCGAATTTCCCTCTGGGATTAATAAAGTATGTCTGATTCTGATTCTGCACACACAACAACAACAGACACTGGTTTACACCTCATCTTAGAAAGCTGCATGAGGCCGGAGAGGGGGGCGTACAGGAGTGGGGACCGGGACCTGTAGCCAGAAACAAGCTGACGGAGGAGATCAGGGTAGCTAAGAGGAGCTACACTGAGAAGCTAAAACACTTAACTTCTCAGCTAATGACCCTACCGCAGTTTGGAGAGGTCTGCAGGACATCAGGAACTACAGGAGACCCTCCCCCTATCCTGCAGGTAACAATAGACTGGCCTGAACAGCTTATACTGCAGGTTCTGTTCCATCACTTGCGTCCCGACTTACTCCCAAGTTTCATCACTTTGACATTGCCCGTGTTGCCTTCTCCACTTTCTTTCGACCACTGCTGCTTTCTCTCTCGCTTTATTACACATGTTGACAACCTTACAGAGTGGGATAGGCATTCAGGGGTGAGTTGTGTTATGACGTGACCCCAGCCTGCCCGTCCTTCAGCTGTTATAGAGACAGATCTGCACTCTGCTTCATGCGAGTCCTGCCTTCCAACTCCCTGTCTCCCCCAGGAGCTCTTTAACCACCCAGCCATGCTTACTAAGTGTGAGTGTGTGTGCGACTTAGAAGTTGAGAGTGAGTTTAAGATGACGATTCATCCCCGTAATGTGACTCCAGAGATAGAAGGACAAAGAAAGAGTGAGGCTGAGAGAGAGAAAGAGAACATTCCCTTCCCAACTTCCCAAGTGGAACACTCGCACACAAACAGCACTGAAAGCACTCACCGTCCCCCCCACTATCCTACCCAGAGGGTACCAGGCTCTTTCGTCGAACCAGTTAAGGAACTCATAGAAGCCATTGGTGGTGAGATGGTGAGTCGACCTGTAGTTGAACCTGCAAAAAAAAAAAAAGAGAAGAAAAGAGAGAGAGGAGGCTGTTAGGCATCGTGCATTACTCAGTGAAAAAGGTTGAAAACACAGTGGGATATTCTTATTGGCACCCAGTGTGGTATTACAGTTCAAAAACCAGTGCTTTCCATTCATGTGTTTCTACCACAGACTGTATAAAACATGAAACAACTTGTCTCAGTGATGTCATCCATTGTAATCTGAAGAGGCATTCTGAAGCTGAACGATAGAAGTCGCCATATTAAGAATGCTTTTAAAAGATAGATAGATAGATAGATAGATAGATAGATAGATAGATAGATAGATAGATAGATAGATACTTTATTGATCCAGAGGGAAATTCAAAGCATCCAGTAGCAGGTTACAAAGACGTACATGACATGAAACATTTGTTACAAATTAAACCGCAAAACCGACCCCCCCCCCCAATAAATATTAACCCGAAAAAAAGATTTAAAGAATACCCCTAGATGAATCAAACAAATACTTTGATCAGTCTAGAAGAAAAAAAATAGGGTTTTGCTTCAAATGGATCTTGAGCTTCGGTGAAATCTATTTAACGTATAAAACTCGGGTACAGCCCTAGGTGACAGCAACTTAAATGTTTAATGAATGAGGAACCTTGCAGTACAAGTGACTTCAAATGTTATTATTTTGGTTCTTTTTTTTTTTTTTTTTACAATTTTAACATATTCCTTTAAAAAAACATCAATACTAAAATGTTGCAGATCGGCCAAGTTCCTGCAGAGCCAAGTTTGAAATGAACAAACCACCCTGTGGTGAGAGGGTTCGGGAAAAGTTGATATAAAAACAGCTTCAACTTCGAGTTTAGAGTTTAAAAGTTGCCGAACCAAAGATATACCAACCAAACTTCAAAAGTCTGCAGTTAGGACTGATGTTGGTAATCATGACTATTCCACAACAAAGTCACTGCATGGAATACTTTCAAAGTCGCAAAGAGAGGTAAACAGATTAAAAAATACCAACAAGAAGAACTGAAGAAAAACATCTACCAACAAACTAAGTCTGAAGTCAGAGCAGACATGAAAAGAGAAGAGACACAGGGGTGTCCTGAAGATCCCTGCAGCATCAATGCAGCAGCTAGCAAACAGCTGCCAGCTGGAAATGGATGTGACAACAAGAAGGATGTTTATGACTGACAACAGTTAATAGTGTCAGGATGTTTGTCTCTGCATGGATTAACTTGATGTTTAATCATCATCAGAGTTAAGCATGTAAAATAAGAAAAGAATAATAAGACGGGTTAATGGTGGGTCTTTGTAGATAATATAACAATGAGTAAGGTATTTGACATGTTTGCGATATACAAATGGAGATTAATCGATTGATTGAATGTTCAAGTATTCCTTGAAATGAAATCCAAGAGGTTAAATGAGACAAAGTAGCATGGAAGACAAGTGCATCGCCCCATGGAAAAGTAAGAAGAGAGTACATTTCAGGATTGAAACTGGGCAGAGAGAACAAAGACAAAGACAGATATATGTATTTTAAAAGATATTAATGATTTTCATCCAAAGGTTGAAGATACTTATTGTGATTATGAGCAGCTTGTGAAGGTTTTTAGCTTCATGTAAGTTTAAAAAGAATCAAGACTAAGTGCAAACATTCAGATATTTGGCTTCTGTTCTGTTCCACTAATTTTGCGCTTTTTGAAAAAGAAATGTGTGTATTGGCCAACTGAAGCTCTGAACCCAATTTGGTGTTGATGGAGTCAGACTCCAAAAGTGTCTATCGATGTCATCCTCTTTCATCCATCCATCATCTTTACAACTTTTCCCGTTTGGGGTTATGGTTGCTGTCACAGGGTGCACACCCTGGACTGTTCACAAGTAATATGAAGACAGACAACCAACCACACTCACATTCACACCTACGGGCAATTTAGAGTCACCAATTGACCTAGGGAGCATGTCTTTGGACTTTGGGAGGAAGCCGGAGTACCCAGTGGGAACCCATGCATGCACGGGGAGAACATGCAAACTCCACACAGAGAGGCTCCTGTCCGACGGGGATTCAAACCAGGAACCTCCTCGCTGTGACAGAACAGTGTCCCATCGTCTTTCAGATTTGTAAAATCAAAAAAAAAAAAAAAATCCATCATAGTTTCCTTTACTACACAATATGCTTGTTTGTAGAGAACATTGTGTCGTTGTTAATCTGTGTCAAATATAAGTTCAATAGAGTAAGTGTTTTTGTTTTTACCATTATTTAGAATACCAAAGTCCGAATGGTGGAGATATATTTTTATTTTAACTTGCAGACATCAATTCCAGTTATTTTCCATTTTCCAGTGCCTACTTTCTGCAGTTTTAAATTTCATTCAGCAAACACTTTTGTCCAAAGCGATGAACATCTGAGAGTACGTTTAAAGACAAGCAAGGACCTACGAAGGAGAGAACATCAGTCAGTGCCAGAAACCGCTTTAAGTCCGATCGCACAGAAGTGCTGCTGACAGGCAGTGCACAGAGGCAAAGCAGAAGAGCTGTTGTTTTTTTAATCCTCGTCATCATCATCAACATCAACAGCTTCTCATAAATATTCTAATCAACATCAACACCCGCACCAATAACATCAATATAATCAAGTTTAATTTCTCTAGACCATCGATTTCACAGCAAATTGGATAATGGCATTAAAACTGCAGATAATGACCCAACCACCTTTGAGGTGAGATCCCTTATCATTCACTGACATTAACTCTCGGGTATTTTTCCCCCACAGGGGTAAGAACTCTAATAAAAAAGGCATCATTTTCCCACAGCAGCAATTCTGGCTGTAGCTCAGCTCCTTTAATTGAAGTCAGTTCATTTTAGTACAGGCCTACAACGGAGGAATAATCACCAGTCAAAGCAGTGATCTGCTCAAATAACAAAGACTTCAATCTTCTGTGAATCTACAAAGACTTCTCTGAAATATCAGCGCAGCACACACAATGTTTCATTGACATTTCCTTGTTGGCAGATAACACAAATTGGGAACAAAACTCAACAGGAGGAATCTCTCTAGTGGCTTTATTTGCCCTTTCTTTTTCCACTCTACCTATACAACCTCATCGTGTCTCGCTGACTATTATTTCTTAACTTATTTACAGCCACTGGGACGTGAAGAGAGAAACAGTCAACTTCAGCTTTGTCCAAAATAAAACCGCATCTAACTCGTGGCCTATAGACAGAAACTGTGCTTGTTCACAACTGTTAGTCTGCCTGTCCCCCGAGCTTAAGCACAAGTATTAAAAGTGCTCGATGGAAACCGTCCCTCCACTAAAAACAGGAATGTGATGATGGAGGGATTGCAGTGTAGAGCTTGCTCAGCCCCCTTAGGACTGAGTGCTAGATTGAGAGTATGTGCTCGGGTGTCGAGGCTTACTCAAGTGGGTTCAGTTATTTGATTGAAAAACGAGGGAAGAGAGAAAAAGTGCCTGCAAACACAGCAACACTCACAGCTAACAAGCAGACAATCCATTATGTCATTGGTGCTCGGTTTCCTGCCTGGATTGAGACTGTGTGTCTCCCCTTCCTCTTACATTCACAGACCCAGACAGCCTGCAGGATCCACATGATGATGGGATCCTTAAACATTTCAATTCTGGGTCTCATACGAAGCAAAACCACGTCCCCTCTGTGATCCGGGCTCATAGAACTAGACTTACTAATCCTGAGATAGACAAAGATATCGGGTTAACTTAAACTGGCACATGAGTTTACGTCCATGTGGTGAGCATTAAGTTCGTCACGACATCAGTTTCTAAAACTGCAATATCACTGAAGAAAAAATCAAACCATGTTGGTACCTGTTTTTTTGATACCACAGCAACAAATTACATCCTAGGTATCCCAAATTGACTATTGTAAAATCCGGAATATAAGTAGCACCGGCGTATAAGACGCAGGATTTCTATTGTGTTCAGCGAAGTCTACAGCGTGCAGTTTGTGTGCAGCTGTGTCGCTCTTATAATTCCATCTTTATTCACTTTGTGGAGCTTGCACTCCTACGAGCTACACTACAGTAGTTGAGCTCTCACTTTAATACAGGACTCTTTCAATCAAGAGCACTTGACAAGGTTTATTTACCGAGCAGTAGCCGACTGTTTTCTGTAAAAACATGATTATGACCCGGTAAGGGAGAAAAGATGTGGAAAAAGTCGCACTGCCAGACTTTATTGAATTATTTCTTACCATGATTAATAATCTGTGTCACGAATGCTCAAACAAGGGGGCACTCATACAATTTAACTTCCAGGCTTTTGTCTTAAGCATTGCAAATTGCCAAACCAGAGATGTTCCTATCATATCGGTTTCAAGCAGGCTGGTGGTGTGTGCAGGATTCTTGAAAGATAAAAACTGACAGAGCTAACCGTTCTTCTCTGAATGAAAAATGGGCTTTGGAGAATACTTTGTTAATCAATGTTTCATATGTATTCAAAGGGTTATCCAAAAAAAATCATTATGTTAGCTGGAGCTGTCATTTCACGCTCCATGGCTGCTGATCAATGTTCAAACTTTATAACTGAAAAAAAAAGTTTGGATTAAATAGGGATATAATACAGAGAAAACAATGTGCTGTGTTTTTAACTTGGAGACATTGCTGATATTGCACACGGTATGCATGAGAGAATTTGAATGAAAATTCTGCCTAAACTCAGAGCTGAGCTTCCCTTACCAGATGTCTGAGTTGTTAATCATATCCCACAGAAAGAACTGCAGAAAAAAACACCAATCATTTTAAACCAACTGTCATTACGTAAATAAATCTCAGCTTTACAAATTGTAGTCTGTAAATAACTCTGACACACAGCTGAACGCTTAAACGCACTGAGGTAAATCTATTTTACCACAGGTCCAATGTGGGCTCGCTGTAACGCCTCCCCTGGCCTCCAGGGGGCAGACACAGAAGGAAAGGAAAATAAAAAGATGCAAGAATCATTTGTACCAATTACCATGGCAACACTTTGGCCTGCTCCTGCAT